CGTGGCAGGTGAAGTAGAGTTTACCTGTTTTAGCTGCCTTTACTTACCCCAACTAAGTCGGTTTTTTACTCATCAGAGCCAAACGGATTTGAACCCGAGACGTTCGAGGTTAGCAGTCGTATGCCCTACATACCGACCACGCCGTCCAGCCACCAGTACATCGCCAATTATTATGTAACTAATTACTTCTGGAGCCATCATAAACCACTCGACCCAGTCACGTGACAGTCAGTACTCACTGCCTGGGATAATGGTGTTGGTGTCTTCTCTGTACTCACCAGTGTTTCTTCCAGACTTTTTTTTTCCCGCAGGGGTGGGGGGGGGGGCGGACTAATATTTTCGGGGGGGGGGGGGGCGGACACTGTTAATGTTAAGATTTTTTCTATATAAATTCCATTTTGTTCGGGGGGGGGGGGGGTGAAGAGATGCCTGGAAGAAACTCTGGCACTCAATGAACTGCGCATAACAAGTTGACACGTAATACTTCATTGTGTTGGAGGGAATCTCTTCCAACACTAGAATTAAGAACGAAGAAAAAAAAAACGTATGACTTACAATATAGCTGGTTCAATTTTAATAATTAACCTAATTATTGGAACATTGTTTCAGTAAAATCTAGTCTAATGAACTCATTCCAATTAGTCTGTAATATGCTTGATGACCCTACAATCTAATTAATTCAGTGCAATTAGATTCTGCTCCACTTAATGACATTACGTCATTGAGTTTATTGGTGTAGTCAAGTGTAGTGTAGGTACTGTTGCACCATGAAATAAGAACACATAGTTATTGAATGTGGAAAACATTAATAAAAACAAAAGACTTAGTTCAACATTACATCTGTGGTATTAGTTTAACATATACTGCAAAAACAAATACACAGATATATAACTGCAGCTATATACAAGAAATATTCTGATGAAGGAGCATAGGAATTATTACCACAACTAATATTACATTTACAAGGAATATATTTTAAGGAATATATTACTTCAGCTACAATTGCAAAAAATAAATCACCGCAGCTATAGTTAAAAAAAACATTTTTGGTTCTGTTATAATTACAAAAAAAAATAGATTGATGCAGTAAAAATTATGCGTACCATTACTATTGTTAACTACTATTCTTACTTACTACCGTTAATTATTACTTTTATTTACTACTGTTGTGTGCTAATATTACTACTGTGACTTTTGAAACGTACACTGTCCGGTGTACGTCCTTAAGCTCTGACGGATACTTAACTCAAGCAAAGCTAGTGACTGTAATAGCAGTTGAATAAATTGCTGGCCGCTTCATATAAATTGGCCGGATCATTTGCTAACCATAACTTTTTCTGCCACATCTACCCCACTGCGTGGTCGGACGATAGAACACACAGGGTTCAAATCTATGGGAAATCTCACTGTTTACCCACCTTTGATGGGTACCTGACTTGTGTTTCGTTACGTGGCTTGATGTAGGGTTAACCTCATCATAAATTTCAAAAGCCGAGGTCACAGAAACAGGCAATATCTACTTTGTATGCACCATGAGCCACTAGTTTCTAAAGGGTAACTTAGAACAAAGGCGTAGCGAGGGGGGGCGGGGGGGGGGGGTGCGGACCGCACCGGGTGACACCATTTAGGGGGGGGGGGGGGTGACACCAAGGCAAAAAAATAGCAAAATATATAAAGAAAAACTTGAGGGGGGGTGCAAATCGAAAGTTTGATGGAGGAGGGGGGGTGCAAATCGAAAATTTGAAAGATTGTCGCTACGCCTCTGGGGGGGGGGGTGACACCATTAAGTGCCGCACCGGATGACACCCGACCTTGCTACGCCACTGACTTAGAATACGGTATTCAGTTGAAATGTTGCATTCGGACGACACGGTTAATCTTTGACTTAAAAAATCATTACAAGAATATCAATTATAAAATCTGAGCAAATCTGGTTTCGTTATTTTCTCACTCGGGCAGATGTTAAAATTTTTTTTGGGCGTAAAGACATTAATGCTGGGAGTGTCAAAATAGTATTAATTAATAATTTATTATTGGCCATGTAATTGACCTATACCAATCAAATAAGAGCGCCATAGAACCAATCTCATATAGAATGGACGTCCTTAAATGACGAATGTGTTTATTGCTATACTTTGTGTACCATAATTCACAGTAACTATCATAGTAGAAATAATGTTTTAATTTGTTAATTTTACTAAAGTTAAAACAGTAAATTTAAATCAATTTATTATATTGAAATATATATTTTAAAAAATTGAATGCTATAACTATAAATGGCTGCTGTTATAGTTAAAAATATATTCCTTGAGTTATATTTACAAAAAAAATATAGCTTACTACTGTAGCAAAAATTATAAGGAATATATTTCTTCAGCTATAGCTACCAGAAACATTAGCTATTACTATTATTTAAATTAATGTATTGCTGCAGCTATAGGGCTGGTCACCAACCAGTTCTATGGCTCATGCAGGTTTTATTGAGCCGTAGAACTGATTGGTGACCTACTTACCAGCCCTATAGTTACCAGAAATATCATATAGTATTAACGAATATATTGCTGCAGCTATAGTTACGGGAAATATAATGTAGTATTAACGAATATATTGCTGCAGCTATAGTTACCAGAAATATATAGTATCAACGAATATGTTGCTGCAGCTATAGTTACCAGAAATATATAGTATCAACGAATATGTTGCTGCAGCTATAGTTACCAGAAATATATAGTATCAACGAATATATTGCTGCAGCTATAATATCTTCATCTCTGTTGACCAGCACAGGAGGAATGGCTGCACCAGGGTCGGGCAGAGCTGCGACGTGCCATCATGGTCTCCAGACGTCACAACAAAAATCTGGCCAAAAACGTCATCCTCTTCATCGGTGACGGCATGGGCATATCCACGGTCACGGCTTCTAGGTAGGTAGGGGTTAAAGGTTGGTAGGTAAGGGTTAAACGTTGGTAGTTTTAGGTAGGTATGGGTTAAACGATGGTGGATTTTAGGTAGGTAGGGGTTAAAGGTTTTTAGTTTTTAGGTAGTTTAGGGTTAAACTGATTTATTGCTTCAAGGGAGGTAGCGGTGTAACTGCTTAGTAGTTCTTAGGAAGGTTTAATGGGTCAAACTGGATCATAGATTTCATGAATGTAGTGGGGAACATGCTTACGACTTCTAGGAATATAGGGATTAAACAGATAAAGCACGCGGTATACACCATCCCCAACCCAGATTCGTATTGTCTAATTATTTTAGATAGAATTAGTATAAGTTATCGAGTTGTCTCATTTGAACATAGAGCTAGCATGCTTAGTTCTCATACGATCTATTATAAAAAAAACAACCGTCCGTTGTATTTGCAGGATCAGAGGAGGCCAGTTGAGGGGTGAGAAAGGCGAGGAGAACCTGTTGTACTTTGAACGGTTCCCCCACGTTGGTCTTATAAAGGTAAGCCTCTACCTGAAATATTTTTGTCCTAGCTGTTTTCAATGTGTCTATCTGGTTTTTAGATGGAGTTGTCTTAAAGGTAGTTTCGTATCTATCTCAATGTAGCGATATGTAGGCCCTACGCTTTTGCTAGAACTCTGTTGTCATTAGTTTGAGCTGACCTATATGATACCATGCTTAAACATCTACCAGAATCAATCAGAATTATAACTATGGTAGTAAATATAGGCAGGTGAAGTAGAGTTCACATGTTTTCAGTGACCTCGGGAAAGGAAGAGATAGTGTGACCAGCACTATGCCCAGCCGGCCGCCTTTCCTCTCCCTGACGTGAGTCAGGTACCCATAAGAGCTGAGCGGACTTATATATATTTTTAAAAGTGTTCGCCCCCCCCCCCCCGCGAAAATTTCAAGTGCCCCCCCCCCCCCCCCCCCGGAGCAAAAAGTCTAGAAGAAACACTGCATATGTGTAGACATTGTTCACGTTTCAAGTCCAGATGACACCTAACACCTCTCACCTGCTAACACCTAACACCCCTCACCTTCCTGCCAGACCTACAGCGCCGACTCCCAGGTGACCGGCTCTGCTGCGGCCGGAAGTGCCATCCTGACAGGTGTGAAGATCAATTCAGGTGTGGTGGGCTGCGACAGCCGGGTCAAGAAGGGCAACTGTACGACCTTCACCGACAAGACCAGGCTCAAAACCATCGTCCACGCCTTTGTTGATGAGGGTAGGTCAGTTAGGTCATGTTGGTTAGTTAGGTCATGTAGGTTAGTTAGGTCATGTTGGTTAGTTAGGTCATGTTGGTTAGTTAGGTCATGTAGGTTGGTTAGGTCATGTTGGTTAGTTAGGTCATGTTGGTTAGTTAGGTCATGTTGGTTAGTTAGGTCATGTAGGTTAGTTAGGTCATGTTAGTCAGTTAGGTCATGTAGGTTAGTTAGGTCATGTTGGTCAGTTAGGTCATGTAGGTTAGTTAGGTCATGTTGGTCAGTTAGGTCATGTTGGTTAGTTAGGTCATGTTGGTTAGTTAGGTCATGTAGGTTGGTTAGGTCATGTTGGTTAGTTAGGTCATGTTGTTTAAGTTAGGTCATGTTGGTTAAGTTAGGTCATGTTGGTTAGTTAGGTCATGTTAGTCAGTTAGGTCATGTAGGTTAGTTAGGTCATGTTGGTCAGTTAGGTCATGTAGGTTAGTTAGGTCATGTTGGTTAGTTAGGTCATGTTGGTTAGTTAGGTCATGTTGGTTAGTTAGGTCATGTTGGTTAGTTAGGTCATGTTGGTTAGTTATGTCATGTTGGTTAGTTAGGTCATGTTGGTTAGTTAGGTCATGTTGGTTAGTTAGGTCATGTTGGTTAGTTAGTTAGTTAGGTCATGTTGGTTAGTTAGGTCATGTTGGTTAGTTAGTTAGTTAGGTCATGTTGGTTAGTTAGGTCATGTTGGTTAATTAGGTCATGTTGGTTAAGTTAGGTCATGTTGGTTAGTTAGGTCATGTTGGTTAAGTTAGGTAATGTTGGTTAGTTAGGTCACATTGGTTAAGTTAGGTCATGTTGGTTAGTTAGGTCACATTGGTTAAGTTAGGTCATGTTGGTTAGTTAGGTCACATTGGTTAAGTTAGGTCATATTGGTTAGTTAGGTCACATTGGTTAAGTTAGGTCACATTGGTTAAGTTAGGTCACACTGGTTAAGTTAGGTCATGTTGGTTAGTTAGGTCACATTGGTTAAGTTAGGTCACATTGGTTAAGTTAGGTCACACTGGTTAAGTTAGGTCATGTTGGTTAGTTAGGTCATGTTGGTTAAGTTAGGTAATGTTGGTTAGTTATGTCATGTTGGTTAAGTTAGGTCATGTTGGTTAGTTAGGTCATGTTGGTTAGTTAGGTCATGTTGGTTAAGTTAGGTCATGTTGGTTAGTTAGGTCACATTGGTTAAGTTAGGTCATGTTGGTTAGTTAGGTCACATTGGTTAAGTTAGGTCATATTGGTTAGTTAGGTCACATTGGTTAAGTTAGGTCACATTGGTTAAGTTAGGTCACACTGGTTAAGTTAGGTCATGTTGGTTAGTTAGGTCACATTGGTTAAGTTAGGTCACATTGGTTAAGTTAGGTCACACTGGTTAAGTTAGGTCATGTTGGTTAGTTAGGTCACATTGGTTAAGTTAGGTCACACTGGTTAAAGTAGGTCACATTGGTTAAAGTAGGTCACACTGGTTAAAGTATGTCACACTTGTTAAGTCATGTCACACTGGTTAAAGTTGGTCACACTTGTTAAAGTAGGTCACGTTGGTTAAAGTAGGTCACACTTGTTAAGTTATTCCACAATGGTTAAGTTAAGTCACACTGGTTAAAGTAGGTCACACTGGTTAAAGTAGGTCACACTTGTTAAGTTATGCCACGCTGGTTAAGTTAAGTCACACTGGTTAAAGTAGGTCACACTGGTTAAAGTAGGTCACACTTGTTAAGTTATGCCACGCTGGTTAAGTTAAGTTACGCTAAGTTAGACCACAGCAGAACCCACAAGTAAAAGAAGAGCACGACTAATTTAGTCAACAAACACTAGTTCTACAATTCAACAGTCACAAAATTTAGCCATCTTCACCCCTCCCCCTTACCCCCTTACCCCCAATCAACACGTCTTCATTGTCACAACAGTCCTAACCCCTCCCCCTGCCCTAAGTCTTAGATATGTGACGTCATTTATAAATGATCCCTACGTTAATTCACACAAATCATAGTCTAGTCAACCTGAAAAATTCTCAACTAGATTTTATTTCTACCTCTATACAGGCCTCTCCACGGGGATTGTGACCAACTCTCGCATCACCCACGCCACCCCCGCCTCGGCCTACGCCCAGACTCCACATCGAGGCTGGGAGGGGGACGTGGACATGTCTTCAGGGGCGGACACCGCCGACTGTCGGCATGTGGACGACATCGCAAAACAGTTGGTGCGGAATAACTCCAACATCAAAGTGAGTTCTTCATTTAAGGGAGTTTAAAAAATATAACTTCAACATCAACGTGAACTCATGATTTAAGGAGTTTTAATTTTCTTAATAAAACAAAATTGAAGTTTTTCTTAAGTCTGTCGATCGATTTGTTTGTGATTGATTTTTCTTTCTTCAACAACATCAGCATATTTTGTTTTGAAGATTCTTTTTACCTTTTCATAGCTAACTGAGTTTCTAAAGGCAATGATAACGCATTGTCCTCCATCTTTCTTTTGAAAATGAATATCGTCCGTTGCACAAATGTTAGCAATCTTTTTTGATATCGCTTTTTCTTTATTTAAACGATACTTCTTAGCTCTGCTGCTTCTGGTGACAACACCAGTCCCTAACATTTTCACTCACCAGTAAAATTAAAAAATCATGCTGACATCAGTAGAAATAGATGAAAAAGAAAACGAATCATCAGTAGATCTACAACAACTAAGAATATAGATATCCGGTTTACATTTTAACAATAATATTAATTAGTCCCCAAAATTATTTTTGCAAGACGTTTTGATCTAAGTAAAAGCTTACAATAGTTAAACGTAAATTACAAATGTTGTTATAACATTTTTTTCCAATGTTAAGTGAAATTATTGATTTGCAGGTTCTTCTAGGAGGTGGGCGCAGGTATTTTCTGGACAATGAAACAGCTGACCCGGTCACTGGCAAGATTGACCAGTACCAGAGACGTGACGGGCTCAACTTGATTGAGGTGAGTGGACAGATGTCTTATGGTCAGCTAGGCTCTGGTCAACTAGGCTCTGGTCAGCTAGGCTCTGGTCAACTAGGCTCTGGTCAACTAGGCTCTGATCAACTAGGCTCTGGTCAACTAGGCTCTGGTCAACTAGGCTCTGGTCAACTAGGCTCTGGTCAACTAGGCTCTGGTCAACTAGGCTCTGGTCAACTAGGCTCTGGTCAACTAGGCTCTGGTCAATTCGGCTCTGGTCAACTAGGCTCTGGGCAACTAGGCTCTGGTCAACTAGGCTCTGGTCAACTAGGCTCTGGTCAACTAGGCTCTGGTTAACTAGGCTCTGGTCATTTATGCTCTGGTCATTTAGGCTCTGGTCAACTAGGCTCTGGTCAGCTAGGCTCTAGTCAACTAGGCTCTAGTCAACTAGGCTCTAGTCAACTAGGCTCTAGTCAACTAGGCTCTAGTCAACTAGGCACTGGTAAAAAAAGGCTCTTGTCAACACCATACATTTACAAATTAAACAAAGTATCGAGTTAAAGAAGCCAACCGACCCTTGTGTAGAAATAACTTTAAAGTGAAATAGACTTTAAGACTCCTACTGTTATATTATGCGGTCTGTAGAATGAGTAAAAAGCTGATCCCCCCCCCCCCCCCCATACAGGAATGGAAACAGGACAAGATTCTCCGTAATGAGAGTCATAGTTACGTCTGGAACCGTGAGCAGCTCAACTCTGTCGATGCTAAAACCACCAACTACCTTCTGGGTGAGTGGCCGTTATTCTAAAACCACCAACTACCTTTTGGGTGAGTGGCCGTTATTCTAAAACCATCAACTACCTTCTGGGTGAGTGGCCGTTACGCTGAGACTATTTACAACAAACATTCAACTTAATTACAACATACAACCAACTTAGTTACGTAACACTCAACACACGCCAATAGTGTAGGTGTGTATAGTCGTTACACAATCTCCACGACAAGGCCCCAAATCTCAATGTTTTGGTATCTTGCTACACAATCCCACCATTTCGTTTAAGCTATACAAGCGTTTTTCACAATGAATCTTGCTTTTTTTTTTCTTTCTATACAACAACTAACAATAGTTTGTACTAGTTTCTTTACTACATTAATTAGTTGATATTTTATCTGATTACGACAATTTACCTGCATCATTAATGTACAAAAACGGCTATAATGTCCATTTAATTTTTCGATTTTATCAATTGCTCTAAAATGTTAATTTTACATCAATACTTCACCAAATTTAAAACAATCTGTACTGCGCATGACCGTTGCAACACATTTCCACAGGCCTCTTCAACCCAAGTCACATGGATTATGACGTAACAACAACCAGCCAATCAGAGAGCAGACAGGAGCCGAACCTGGTTGAGATGACTGAAAAAGCCATTCAAATTCTGCAGAACGATAAAAACGGTTACTTTCTACTAGTCGAAGGTAATTCGTCTTTTTCCAATGATTCCAAAACATGCCGATTTGTTCCACGGATCAAGACCTTACTCGGAAACTTTTTTAACTATATTAATACAATTCATATTTTAAAGTTATCAAACTTTTGTGTTTTTAATATCTTTGGCTTTTCTAATACCACGTTGATTTCTCTCCCTCCCCCACGCCCCTCACCACGCCCCCCACCCTCCTCCCTCATCCATCCCCCACCTCAGGTGCCAGAATTGACTTCGGTCACCATGCCAACTCCGCCATTACTGCCATCACCGAGACGCTGGAACTGGACGAAGCGGTCAAGGCCGCGGTCCGGATGACGGACAGTCAGGACACCCTGATCATGGTCACCGCTGACCACAGCCACGCCTTCGCCATCCAGGGGTACGCACCCAGGGGCAACGACATTTTAGGTGGGTGATCCAGGTCTTGGTTTTAAGCTGGTATCCTCATCAGGGGTGGACTGGCTGTATCCAAGAGGGCCCGGGGAAATTTTCAAAGGGCCCGCTAATTCTATATTGAAATTTTCATTGTGCATTTCGCCCATCAAATTGAATTTTACGCCTTGGTATGAAGTATAAAGGAATGGGAATGGTAAAATGGAGAAATACTAACAAATTGTTTTTAAAAAGTCAAAAACTAATAGGACGATTGATACAGCACGGTTTCATGGGGCACACAGATATTTTTTCATGGGGCCCACCGAGATTTTCCTGTGGGTTGACCCACCGAGATTTTCCCGGGACCCACCGAGATTTTCCTGGGACCCACCGAGATTTTCCTGGGACCCACCGAGATTTTCCTGGGACCCACCGAGATTTTCCTGGGACCCACCGAGATTTTCCTGGGACCCACCGAGATTTTCCTGTGGGCCCACCGAGATTTTCCTGTGGGCCCACCGAGATTTTCCTGGGACCCACCAGGATTTTCCCCGGTAGACCGGTGGGCCAGTCCACCCATGGTCCTCACCGAGTTTTTCCTGCTGTTGTTTAGATTAGTGTGCATGTTCACCATGTTGAGTTTAAATTACCAAGTTTTTAGCTGGAGAAATTACACGACGCCAAATGCTAAAAGAAATTTGAGATATAAGCAAATATCAAGCAAGAGATTGTGTGTTAACATTGGTTAAAGATCTCGTCGAGAAGTTTAGGCGTCACATGTAAACATAGTTATATCTATTGTTATTAAAAAAAATGTTACCGTACAACAAAGTTACTCCTTGTTTAATAAATGTTATCGTTGAATGACTTTAATTTTTATAAAAGTGTTATAGTTAAATAAGTGTTATTTTTTATCGAATTAACAATCAAATAAAAAAAATCAATTTAAAACAATCAAGTTAAAAAATCAATTTAAAACAATCTAATTACAAAATCAATTTAAAATTCAGGAACCGCGGACCCAGGTGTTGATTCTTATCCGTTAGACGGCCTGCCCTACACGACCCTGGGGTACACAAATGGGCCGATCTTCAACAGGGCTGACCTTTCAAATGTTGATACAGGTAAGTCAGTCTGACCTTTCTAATGTTGATACAGGTAAGTCAGTCTGACCTTTCAAATGTTGATACAGGTAAGTCAGTCTGACCTTTCTAATGTTGATACAGGTAAGTCAGTCTGACCTTTCAAATGTTGATACAGGTAAGTCAGTCTGACCTTTCTAATGTTGATACACGTAAGTCAGTCTGACCTTTCTAATGTTGATACAGGTAAGTCAGTCTGACCTTTACAAACACCTGAAGGTACGTAACTATGACCCATACATACTACTGCTTTGGAAAAGTCAGTTCGACACATACAGAATTCAGCAACATAGTTTTGCTGATTGTAGGTATTTCTTGATATCTGGCATTATGACACATGAAATTATTATAAAATGATGCCGCGACATCACACATGACATCATGGTGGGGCAATATTATACATGGTATATTGTGGGATATATGACACATGACATGATGACGTAGTATGACACATGACAACATGGTGGGGCATATGACACATGCTATGATGGGAACTATGACACGTGACATGGTTTGGGAAATATGGCAAATGACACGATGGGGCATTATAACACATGGCAGTGTGACACACGACATAGTGCGGCAATATGACATGATATGATGGGGCAATATGACACATGAGTTGATGTAGCAATATGACACATGACATAGAGCGGCAATATGAACCATCCTACAACCTTTGGTCTCTCTCCTCATTACTTCCGGTCCTAAATCTGCCAGGATTCTAACTCCTTTCACTGTCCCCAGGTTCCTTCAACTTCCGGCAACAGGGCTGTATCCCAGTCAGCGTCGAGACCCACGCCGGTGAAGACGTGAGCGTGTACGGCATGGGCCCCATGGCCCACCTCCTCCACGCGACCCACGAGCAGAACTACCTGTACCACGTCATGGAGTACGCCGCCTGCGTCGGCCGCAGCAAGAAGTACTGCAAGAGCAAGTCCCACCGACGGGGCGAGAGTTCGCAGCCCAGCCCGACCAGGGGCAACAAGGAGGAGAGGAGGGGGGGACAACAGAAACGGCAACAATGAGAGTGAGAATTGAACGGGGAGCCAGCACTAACAGGGGATAAAGCAATATTTTCACATGCCACAACATCGTCATTATTTATACACGTTTCATTTTACTATTTCAGTTTAAAAACAAATTTTTATATCATTTTTTTTCACATTATTTCCTGCATTTAATTAACTGCATGTGGTTAATTGTTTCGATTAGGGATCGTCCAGAGATGACAATATTGTTTTTAATTTTTTCCTTATCCCCCCACTCAGCACGCCCCTATCGTCTCTCATAGTCAGAAAATGCTAAACTACCCCACATAAAATGACGTCACCCCACCCCCTTTCTCAAGATTAAAATTTTAATTTTTTTTTTAAAAATGTCGATTTCTGTTTAAAATTTTACTAAGATCGGTCAGCATCGAGATATTGATTTCAATTCACACAAAAAAATGCTTTTTTAAAAACGCAAAAAATTCAGTCTCTAAAATTACTTTTACAATGCAAACGTGTGTCGTCACACCTTCTGACCTCATACCTTCTTCCCATCCACATCGTCACAAAAATACAACCCCACACCCTAGGAATGTGACGTCGTTTATGGACACCCTAAAAAGCTTGACTAACAGTCTACGGAAATATTTTTTGTTCGTGAATGACTTATTGGTTATAAGTCCCGTCTAAAGCTTACTTGCTTAGCTTATATTTACCTTTTTTAAATATATTAACTTCAAAAATACAAAGTATATTTTCAGTTTGGTACAAGTTTAAATGTTAGAGCCACAAACACAAATAAAATATTTGTCTGCTGTTTTTTTTAAAAGCAATAAGTAATATCAGTATTTCTGCTGTAGCTTGTTAATTTTAATCATGGATAGCTTCCCTTTACTAGAATAATTATTTTTTTCACCCCAATGCTATGTAATTTGTTTTAGACTTTACCAGCCCATTGTAAATAGAGTTGACGTCTCTCTTCCTTATTTTGATTTTTTTTTTAAATATTTAAAATGTAAAAAAAAAATTGCATGACTAAAATGCACTTTTAAAATGCTAAACGTAGCAAAGAAATGTGATGACAAACATGATATACATATTTGCCTTTAAATGTTACAGTTAAAATAAACACAAACAGCCGTTTTTGTTAAAATTTAAAAGTTTTCTGTGTTTTGAAATGAGGACAGTATTTTTGTTTTGTTGAAAGCGCATACTGTGATTTACATGGGGTGAAACAATGGCGGTGACCATACAGTTTTGACGGTCATATTATACATTGGTGATGATACGATCAAACTACTTGTCAAACGGTAGATGTGCTATGGGATTTAAACCCCCCCCCCCCCCCCCAAAAAAAAAAGATGCCTAAAAGAAACTTTGCCCCCACTCTAAAAGGCTATAAATATTTTTACTTAAAACCATAGGTCGTATTACGGCGGCCCTATCGTAGAAGTTTTCATCGTGAGCTTTAAGATGCTCGTCATTTTAATAAGTGGTTTAATTAAGGAGGTTAAGCAGATTAACTCAGTCAGTATAAGCAATTTTTGTCTTGATTACCACCCTGGGGTGTCTTGGTGTCACCCCTTGGTGTGCTGTCGCCAGTCGACCACTCCCACTTCACCCCCCCCCCAACCCACCTGCGTCTTATGACGCTAAATGTCTGTCTTTTCTGGTAATTAAAAAAAAAGTGTTAGAATCTAGTGCTACAAGAGATTGTGTGTAAGTATTGAATATAATTGGACAGAGCTACACAGCAGTCGTGTGTAAACTTTATCCGCTTCAATAGAGCTGCCATTGGGTAGGTTGGACTAACGGCATCAGTTGTAGTGCTACAGGCACGACATTACCTGTACAGGTACAGCAACAGCAGTAATTGTACAGGTAAAGAAACAGCCTTAATTGTACAAATAAAGAAACAGTCTTAATTGTACAAATAAAGAAACAGCCTTAATTGTACAAATAAAGAAACAACCTTAATTGTACAAATAAAGAAACAGTCTTAATTGTACTGGTACAAAAGCAGCCTTCATTGTACAAGTAAAGAAACAGCACAGGTACAGCAATAGCAGTACTTATACAGGCACAGAAACGGCATTAATTGCACATGTACAGAAACAGCATTAATTAGACTAGTAGAGAAACATCATTAATTGTACCGGTACATAAACATTTTATATTTTACAGAAACAGCATAGGCAAAGCAAAAAGCAGTAAGTAATTGTACCGTTGCAGAAACATCATTACTGTACCGGTATAAACCCACTACCATCTCAATTGAAACAAGACAAAGAAGACAGAGCATGCCGTAGCGCCGTACAGAAAAAAAAAATCTTCACGCTTTTGACTGATGATGTGAAGCTCTAAATAAATTTAATGAAACAAGACTTCGTGCGGTGACGTCACTGACAAGGTAACGGATTATTCCCCTTGCCGCCCGCCCCAGTAAACAATGAAGAAAGAGCGGGATAAAATCGTGAGGCGATCCATCTTGTTTTTATTAGCATTGGTTCCTGTTGGGTTAGGAAGTGGTCTTCAGATAAACACGTTGTTGTAGGGAAAGTTTCAAGCTTTTGCAACTAATTAGTTTTGAACGAGACAGTATAAAATTAAAACAAAAACAAGAACAAAATAAATGAAAAATGTTCTGTAGAATTTTCCATAATATTTAAATTTAAAAATTAAGGAGGTATTTTTGTCATAATTGACAGTGTGGTCTGCCATAACAAGACAACACAATTTGACCCTGTTCTTTCAATAAGGCCTATATTATTCAATATTATCGATACATTTTGAGTTTGATTATCGAAGTTCGAAAAAAAGTAATTTAGTGATTCGAAGAATACAGGCATAGCTGACTATTTTGTTTAACATTATAAATTTGATGTGTAAGGGGTCATCCATAAATGACGTCACGCTTTTTGGACGATTTTTACCTCCCCCCTCCCCTCCGTCACACGTCGTCACAAAAAGCCAGACCCCCCCCCTAAAATGACGTCACACCGCAGCCTACAACCCCCCCCCCTCAAAATTGCAGTTGAATTTTTTTTAAACAGCTATATTTTCCCAAAATCTTGTCTGAACTGTCAAAATAGAGTATTTTTATGAATTGTTATTACAATTTATTAAAACCGTTTTCTAAAACGCAAAATAACGTCTAAAATTAGTTTTCTAACATTGCTTTTTTATACTGCAAAAGTGTGACGTCGCACCATCTGAACCATCCCCCCTCCCCCTCATCACACACCGTCACAAAATTACGGACCCCCCTCCCCCCTACGAGTGTGACTTTATTTATGGACGACCCCAAATAACTTAGGCTAAGATTTGAATATCTGATTAAACAGATTTTTGCTTACTGACGTTTGTTTTACTTAAACTAGGTACTAACAGTTCTTCTTCTTTTCTTCTTCTTCGTTCTTAATTTTAGTGTTGGAAGGGATCCCCTCCAACATAATTAAGTATTCGTGTCAACTGGTTATTCGCCATTGAGTCAATTGACTCCGATTTCAGCCTGCTTTTCTTTTTGGATTTGTTGATACATGGTCAAGATCTGTCTCTTCTCAACTTAGGGCCTTTGTGCTTGGATTTCCCAATGCGCAGTCATCCAATGTTCTACCATACTACAGAGCTGTATAACAGCAACACCCAACAGTTTAGACTACCCAAACGCAATAAACTTAGCTTCAGTTGTGTGCCTATAAATCAGTCACCACATACAGGCGTTACCAAGTTTTAGTTTGAAATAAAATATTTATCGTCGTCACCTTCTGACCCAGTCCTGGTCCGATTAACGAAAGACAACCGTGCATTTATTAAACTACACTCCACCCAACAACCCCCCCCCCCCCCCCACGAAACACAAACGTACATACACCCAACAGCCCCCCCCCCCCCCACACACACGAAACAACCGTACATTTATTAAGTTAAACTACACCCCCCCCCACCTCCCCCTATGTAATTTGCTAGCAAGAGTTGAAGCTCCCTCGCGTGACATCACGACGTGAAGCAGAGCGCCATCTGTCAAGTCTACGTCAGCTGTCTGTCCTCACAGTCAGGTCATATATAATTTTTCCCCCGTAGACTTTTGTCTTTCTGGGCCCGACTTCTCCACAGGAAGCTGAACTTCGCGACAAAGGTAAAAAAAAACTTTACGTCACCAACAGTTTAAAAAAAAATTATGTAGTTATAACAGGGAGGATAAATCGCAGTTACCACAATACTAAGTTACTTAGTGTTAGTTTACTTAAGATTGTAACCATTTTAAATTTAAAAAACAAATTCATTGAGTGATTGTATCAAATATTTAAGATTTGAATTTGTCTTGACTCGCGGCCACCGTATAAGATTATAGGCTAAATATATTGTGTCTTAATAGGTGGCGATACCGCTGATTCTTATGTATTTCCTAGATTATATTCTGGCTAAATCCTTTTCTTTATAGTTATTGAAAGTAGTTTTATTTTCTTCTTTTTAGTGCGTATAAAAAACCTTGTTTTATTATTATTTTTAAAGAGTATGTTCTAGCTTGTAATGGAACGGTGTGGTCGAATGGTAGAGCTTAGGGTGCATTGGCATAGCGTTTTATGGCAATGCCAACGCCCTTACAATGTGCACATGATTCCAACATCTATCATTTTAATCAGCAAAATATAGCTACTTTGATTCTATCGGCAGAATTTGACTTGTAGATTACTATACTGTCAGGTCACTGCTATTTTAACCGTGGACTAGTAAAATCACCAGCGGTGTCTATTTAACCTTTGACCCATGGACCAGTAAAATCACCAACCGTGTCTGTTTGACCTTTGACCCGCTGACCAGTAAAATCACCAGCCGTGGCTATTTGACCTTTGACCCGCTGACCAGTAAAATCACCAACCGTGTCTATTTGACCGAGTTTTTGTGTACACTCTGACGGTCTTCACTCTTCTTGACATTTCCGTCACCAGGAAAATTAATGACGTCATGTTTACTCCCCCTCCTCTATGTAGTAGACACTAGAGTTGGCATGAAGGAAATAAAACCTAGTCATTCTAGTCTGTGGTGTTTATTTCCCAACATGAAGACACCACCAGTGTTTCTTCCAGACTTTTTTCTCCGGGGGTGGGGTGGGGGGGGGGGGCACTTGACATTTTCGGGGGGGGGGGGGGCTGACTAAAATTTCCGGGGGGGGGGGGGGCGGACACTGTTAAAAGTATATTTTCTATATACATTCCATTTCGTGTGTGTGTGGGGGGGGGGGGGAGGGTTGGTGATGATTTTCCGTGGGGGGGGGGGGCAGTGTTAAAAGTATATATTTTCTATATACATTGCCCCCCCCCCCCCAAAAAAAAAAAGATGCCCGGAAGAAACTCTGGACACCATACTTCATGCTAATCTCTTCCTGTTTTCGAAAACATTGTGAGCTGGAGCAGGATTAAGGATATTAAAATTTCTTAATACAACATTCTACATACACGTTTATTTCAGAAAGGGAACCAGCTTCTAGAATTCAGATTTAAAAACTTAGTTTTTAAAACACAAAAGTGTGATGGCACTCTTACGGAATCCCCACTCTCACCCTCCCTTCCCACACTATCACAAAAGTTCGCCCTTCCTGATGTTACCTTGCTCAGATTCGTTGTTTTTTTTTTACAACAGTAGACTACATCAGGTTTACACATACACGTAATTAGACAAGTCGAGATCAGTCTCTGACTGTCCCTGTCCTTCGGGCCTTTTTCAGAGTAATAGGGCTGGTAAGTAGGTCACCAATCAGTTCTATGGTTTATGCAGGCTTTATTGAGCCGTAGAACTGGTTGGTGACCTACTTACCAGCCCTATTGACTGAACGTAAACACAAGGGACTTGACTAAGATATGTATAATACAAGGGACGTAACAATAACTAATAAGACAATAATGTTATTTCTCCCACTCATGCGTGTGATGTAAAATATCACCTAAATTTAATCAGACCTAGTCTTTTATTTTTAGACTCGTACCAGATGTAACAGTTAGTAACAGAGAAGTGATGTTATTTTAACACGCATGCTTGTACTTTTTACATTCAGCTAACTATATCAAATAAATAATTTTCATTACTTTCAGCGATTTCAAAAAAATCAACAATGGTTACCAACGCCATCTTGTTGTGTGCCATTATGATGGCGTCCTGCCATGGTTTCAACTTTAACAACGGAAACAACTTCATGGATGCGCTCTCCTCACACTGCACATCCGGCAACTTCCGGTAAGTTTTATGGACCAATAGAAACAATTCTTCTTTAGGCCTAGCGATCAGATGGGCAGATGAAGTAGAGTTAATGTGTTTCTTGACTGGATGATGTGGTCAGCACTATGCTCTGCCGCCTTTACTTTCATAAACGTAAGTCAGGTACCCATCAGAGCTGGGTTGACTCAGGGGGCGTCCTACAGTCACAAGTCCGAACCAAGACCCGAACTCGAGACTTGAAAATCTAAAGCAATTGATTGGCCAGAAATAAGTAATCAATGAAAAAGTAGTCACTGACCCAAAGCTAAACCGTACTACAAACTCTGACCCTAACCCAAACTAACAGAAATCTACATCGATGTCTAATCCTAAAGTTAAACTTAAACCTTACCTTAACTTCAAAATCTTCTCATAAACTGCGATAGATTGTGATTGTTATCAGCTGATTCTCTCATGCAAATATTGTCTGGAAGGGACACATGCAAATGAGATTTATGGACTGCGAAATAAATCAATTTTTAAAGAACTGGGAAAAAAAACCCCAACAAATTATACTCTAACCAAATCTAAATCTTACAAGAAATATAAATGAAGGTTAACATTATTTAAATAAATATTTTTTTTTTGGACAGGCTAAAATTGTTTTTAAACGTTAGTGTAGCTGCTCGATCTATCGGCTGATATCTGGCCAAAACTATCTGACCAACACAATCTGACCAACATTCTCTAACACTCTCTGACAAAGGCTACCATATCAAAAGCTACCACACACGATCGAAAACAAGACTCTCCCACAACTCTCTCATAATAAGCATACAATAAACACACACCCAAGTCTATACGACTGCAATATTGTACGTCCTCAGACCCAACAACGGAGACCACATGCCCCAAGCCACGCCCGCCCCCTACACCATCACAGTCGTGTCCCCCAGCGGCACCATGTACTCACCAGGACAGGAAGTCACGAGTAAGTTTCTGTACTCACAGAGTGAGCAGAGGGCAGCTTGTACAGTTGGTTGAACTTTCACCTCAGTTTGTGGCTGCTGTGGTTTTTAACTGCTAGTTCTATTCTGTGTGCATGTATTCTGTTGTATTTTTAATTTAGCGGCGGTGACTTTATATCAGATGTTAATGGTGACTGTGGGTTATAGTAAAGACTGCAGGTAGAGCCTATCAAAGTTAGTTTTATTGATTTTAATCGATTCTGTGAACAAAACTCTAACCATAAAGTCCTAACTCTTACCCTACACCTATAACGCTAACTGCAGTATATGCAGAGGGAAAATAACCAAATAAAGATTTTTTGTTATAAACAAGTGATTTAGCTCTTCGTGTCTTACAAATACAAATAACGAAAACGAGCATTTTGTAACGTCTTCTTTTAAAGACGACGATTATCAAGTCTGGCTTTTTGTGAAGACCTGTAATTTTAGGTGTGTGTGTGTGCATGTGTGTGTGTGTGTGTGTACATGTGTGTGTATGTATGTGTGTTTGGGGGTGGGGGATCAAAATGATCCAAATAGAAAACACCTACCGTTTTTCTTTTAAAAAATACGCCCCCGAATACGTACTGCAATTTTTTTTAATACAATAAAATAACGTAATTTTCTTTTTCTTATTGTTTACACTGATGAAGAACTTTAAAAGAAATGTTCATTTTTAATTGGTTTCTTAGTGTAGGCCTATTTTGGTCTGGTTCCTAACCCCACCCCCCTACCCTCTTTGTATTTTATATATTATATGTAACCAATTCCACAGTTACTATCGAGGGTGCAAGGAACGCAACAGGCGTCAGGAAATTCCAAGGATTTTTTATTCAAGGGGACGTAACCAAGGCGTCGTTTTCAGGGGACATCACTTGTGGAGCAGACGGCCACAACGTTACCTACTGCGGCAAACCCGGGGCAGGGAACACCAACGATTTACCCAAAGAAAAAGTCGTCTGCAAGTGGACGCCGCCAGATTTTCAGATGGGGACTCTCCAGTTTGTGTAAGTTTAGGTGTAAGTTTAGGTGTAAGTTTAGGTGTAAGTTTAGGTGTACGTTTAGGTGTAAGTTTAGGTGTAAGTTTAGGTGTAAGTTTAGGTGTAAGTTTAGGTGTAAGTTTAGGTGTAAGTTTAGGTGTAAGATTAGGTGTAAGTTTAGGTGTAAGTTTAGGTGTAAGTTTAGGTGTAAGTTTAGTTGTAAGTTTAGTTGTAAGTTTAGGTGTAAGTTTAGGTGTAAGTTTAGGTGTAAGTTTAGGTGTAAGTTTAGGTGTAAGTTTAGGTGTAAGTTTAGGTGTAAGTTTAGGTGTAAGTTTAGGTGTAAGTTTAGGTGTAAGTTAAGGTGTAAGTTAAGGTGTAAGTTTAGGTGTAAGTTTAGTTGTAAGTTTAGGTGTAAGTTTAGGTGTAAGTTTAGGTGTAAGTTTAGGTGTAAGTTTAGGTGTAAGTTTAAGTGTAAGTTTAATTGTAAGTTTAGGTGTAAGTTTAGGTGTAAGTTTAGGTGTAAGTTTAGGTGTAAGTTTAGGTGTAAGTTTAAGTGTAAGTTTAGTTGTAAGTTTAATTGTAAGTTTAGGTGTAAGTTTAGTTGTAAGTTTAGGTGTAAGTTTAGGTGTAAGTTTAGGTGTAAGTTTAGGTGTAAGTTTAGGTGTAAGTTTAGGTGTAAGTTTAGGTGTAAGTTTAGGTGCAAGTTTAGGTGCAAGTTTAGGTGTAAGTTTAGGTGTAAGTTTAGGTGTAAGTTTAGGTGTAAGTTTAGGTGTAAGTTTAGGTGTAAGTTTAGGTGTAAGTTTAGGTGTAAGTTTAGGTGCAAGTTTAGGTGTAAGTTTAGGTGTAAGTTTAGGTGTAAGTTTAGGTTTTAGCAATTAAAGATAATGTTTTTTTTTGCGAGATAGGAAACATTGTGGGTCACTCGCATAATAGTGACGTCCTTACATTGCCAACACCTTTGAGTTAGTTGCACACTTGCCGTGCCGTAGTGACACCCTAACACTAGTGATACCCTTAGATTAGTGACACCTTTAAAACAGCGACACCCTTTCATTAGTGACACCCTTAGTGACACCCATACAACATTGACACCCTTACAATGGTGACACTTTTAAATGAGTGTGACACCCTTAAATTATTGACACCTTTTGAACAAAGTTAAAGAGCCAGAAATAAATGATGCTTAATAAGGCTGGTCAGTAGGTCACCAACCAGTTCTACGGCTCAATAAAACCTGCATGAGCCATAGAACTTGGTTGGTGACCCACTTACCAGCCCTATTACCAGGTATAAATCGAGTTTATTTTTATCCAATTGCAGGGCGACAATCGAGGAGAACTTCTCAACTTTCTGGACAGGTGTAAAAAGTGAAACGAATCTTTCACCTGACCCATCAAGTGAGTGCAGACTTGACTCGTCTTTTACCGCCATTTTTGACCGATTTACTAACATTTTTCTTATTCTTTTTTTCTTCTTCTTTAATTGACACAGATATGTAATTTACAGCGTCAGTTTGCCTCGCATGTTTTTTTAGTGGTTTTCATCATTGGCTTGTGAGGACTGATACAGATTTACAATAGTTATACTTCTTTCTGACTTGTACTTGCTTTCATTTAAGATAATTTTCTTATACATAATACAAAACGTCTAATTATAATTTTATTTTTAAACCTGAAAATGTAAATGTGTAATTAAATAGTGATTCAATGTTCTATGTAGAGAAGGAAAAAATGGTGGGTTGGGGGGGGGGGGGGGAATTAGCTTATATCTAGTGCTGAAATAAATTTAGGATAAAAGAAGAATATTATTATAAATATTAAAAGCAGCATGGATGATATATAGAGTAAAATGAGCAGTGTTTCTTCCAGACTTTTTTCTCCGGGGGGGGGGGGGGCACTTGAAATTTTCGGGGGGGCGGTAGACTTTCTTCGGGGGGGGGGGGCGGACACTGTTAAAAGTATATATTTTCTATATAAATTATATAAATTTCATTTCGTTCGGGGGGGGCGGTAAAAATTTTTCGGGGGGGCCAAGTCCCCCCCCCCCCCCCCCGAAGAGATGCCTGGAAGAAACTCTGAATGAGACACAAACAAATCATACAATCTTTTCTTCCAGCAGTTCTCATCAGTTTAAAAAACATAAAGTGTATGTACAATAGTTCAATGAAGAAAGTAAACTGGGATTATAACTATATTAAAGCAATCATTATGGGACGCAACTCTGTTACTTCCAACGGCTTAGGGGTTATCCATTTATGATGTCCCCTTAGTTCTTTCTTGCCCTATCCTTGTTAGTGTTGCCAATGGTTAACAGTTGAACGGTCATGTGATTGTATATTTACAACAGCTTCAGATAATTACAGAGATCCCATATTATTACAAAAAAAACTTTGAGATTCTGTTTTCTTTCTGCAATCTCGATAATGCGACAAATTTTAAACCTATTATTTTTTCGCCAACATAGCTAATATGATAGTGTAACAGTTACCATGCGAGTGGTACAGGTTCGAGACACATCACGACAAAGTTTTTTAAAAAATTACAAATTTTAAACTTTTCTTATCTATACTTTTATTTTCAAATAGAAATAATTACATCAGCATATATACATGTGTGTGTGTCTTAGTCTGTAGCATAATTCAAACATTTACAAAAATTATCATTACATTATCAAAATGGTGAACATAACAAAAAAACAGGAATTGTCGATCAGCAATTCAAATGAAGGTAATTAGAATATTTTTTTTTTTAAATACTTTTATTTTTCAATTTAAAACAAATACAGTAACATTCCACGCCGTTTGGGTGGATATTTGCAAGATAGTTACATTGGTGTACAGGGTATAGTAAATAAATTGAATTTAAGGCTTGGTTCAAAGATTGTAAAGAGGCTGGTTTGTAACGTGTTGGCCAACAAAGTGGTAGAAGGTAATTAGAAATAAAGAACGCAATTCCCCGCAGTACAACCATGCATAAGAAGCATTTTAATTTATTATCCTGATTGCGCAGACACTATTTTTATAGTTTGTCCTTATGTTTCTTTTTTTACCAGATACATTTCTAACACTCCAAGGCTTGTTTTCTAGTTCCAGGGCCAATTTAGAATCTATACTTTTAGTTGCTTAAAATACGTCTTGAGCAAAAATCAGCTAATTGGTATATTTTCATAAACTTTAATTATTTTTAACTATTTTTTATAAATTATTTCCCTTTATTCGATTACAATTTTCTAAAACTTCTTACCTCCCTTCGGACAGCAATGACATATGAACAGAAAGCTTTACAGATGCGAGAAAAACTTTTGAGGCAGATGCAGGGACTTACAGGTAATGGCTACATTAACATTGTCGTGTGTTTTGTGTTCAGTGGTCAATAAATCTAATAACAATTGATTGGAACACTCTCATTAGAGATCAGAAACATAGGGCTACGAAATGGCAGAGCCGCTGATATTTTAGTAGCTTTGTAGTGGATTAACGGTTTCGATATAAATTCAGTCTCGCCTTAACCCAGAGGCGTAGCTAGGGGAGGGTGGTTGAGACAGCCGCCCCGGGCGCCGAGCCTAAGGGGGCGCCAATCGGAGTTTTAAAAAAACAAAAAAATACCCTCATTTTTGCAATAATACACAGTCGACGTAAAAAAAAATACTGCTTGGCTTTCCTGGCTAACTTATCTGTTTTCAATTTAGTGACATCATATTCATAATAACTGTCAAGGAATAGTGACTAGTAACATGGGCGGGGGGGGGGGGGGGGCGTGTCTTCGCCCATGTGGAGCTACGTCGATAGTCTGCCCCTTGCGACGGAGTGAGTCGCTACGCCTCAGGCTTTAGCTCTACACGTTATCCCCGCTACGTTGCTGAATAAGTAAAAACATCGTTTTATTTCAAACCTAGTTGCTTAATTTTAGAGTGTATGCAGTAGTTACGGGACGGCGTGGCCAGCCGTAGCGTGCTAAACTACTAACCCGGAAGTCTCTGTGTTCGAATCCGGGTTTAAGAACGTCCCAGAGTCCGCCCAGCTCTGATTAGTACCCAACTCAGAGAAGAAAAATGCGGCTGGGCATAGTGATGACCACACTATCCCTTCGTATGCCGAGGTTGGAGAAACAGGTAGACTCTACTTGGACCGTCAAGTTCGTAAAGGCAACCTTTTAAAGTAGTTGAGATATAAACTACAATCTACACGCTCAACTGGCTTAGGGCGTCAAGTGAAACCAAAAAGTACCGCTATCCAAACCTGGTAGAGTTTAACATTAGCACTAATATCTAAACCTTAAACCTGGTAGAGTTTCACATCGAGGTTTACAAGATACGTAAAAATAAAGCTAGAGGAAGCTACGAGAATAGTTTATTAGAAAACAAAATATTAATATAAAAAAATGGTTAAAAAATACGAGAACTTTTTTAGCGCCATCATTACTATTATTCTTTTATTAACACCATTATTACTTTTATTCTAAACAATCATTACTTTTTTACACCATAATTTCTATTATTTTTTCATCAACACCATCCTTACTTTGTTTTATAAATTAACACCGCAGGTTTCGCTGGCCAGAACCAAAATCCATGTGAGTATTCCTGTGGTGGTCTTGTTGTTTTATAACTATGTTTTTTACTCCGGTAATGGGGGGGGGGGGGGATAGTAGGTTTGTTTCCAGCGGGGGGGGGGGGGGGATGTTAAACCACGACTGTAGCCTGCTGCATTAGTTAACAGTTCAGCATCGCTATGGGCATTTAAACCCACGGTCGGATATACATTGAGCACCTATTGAATCCGTCCTATCTTGCTACAAACGTGGTCCCCAGCACAGCCTAGATTTGAACATAGTTTAGTTTCAACCTGATAAGCGCCCTAATATATGTGCAGGTAATTGCTGAATCACTTATTATGTCTTCTTTTTCAGTTGCTGGAATATTCGGAGCCCAAGGGTGTAAGTGTTATTTTCTAGAGATTTTTGTTTTTGGGTTGGGCCACCATATTAAATGAATGGCTGCTGTTGTATTTTGGGGATGGGGGGGGGGGGGGGGGTTGAGGATGTGGGTTTGGGATGGGTGTTGGTGGAGGTGGTAGTATACTCAAATCCAAACCAACAAGACTCACATTGCATGGATTTTTAAAAATTTAACGTGTCTGTGAAGTTTAAGGTAGCTGACAATATATATATATATATATATATATATATATATATATATATATATATATATATATATATATTGCATTGCAGCTCAAAGACCCTAAAGTTAAGCCGTTTTAGGTTCCTACTCTCTCTCTATCCCTCTTTTCATTAAAGATTATTTAGTGTATGGTATTGTAATTAAAGGTACATAATCCTGAAACAATGTTTTCCCAACAGAAAATATGAACTACGAAGTTGACTGTGACGTCAAACCTATGTCTGGTGTTGCCCCTGTGAGGTGTGAAGTAGAACAACACACAACAGATCGACCCTACCTTTTATTTTATTTAAAGAGGTGTCACAGTTTTTATATACGGCACTGGAATTTAAAATTGAGAACATGTGATATTAATGATTAATTTAATGAGTAATTAACGTAATGATCAACTGATTGGATTAGCTTTTAATTGTCGGGCTAATAACCTGTTTGGAATTTGTGTTTTAACAATAAAAAATAATTTCTTGTTTTGAAGTTTGTCTAATTTCTGTGTGGCTGACCTATAGTCTTGTAATGGTTAATGTTACTGTTTTATACTTCCCCTCACACTTCCTCTCACACTTCCTCTCACACTTCCTCGAACTTATCCCCTCACTTATCCCCCACTGCTCCCCTCGTTTCTTACCTCCATCTTCACTTACCCCTTACCCCTCCCCCCCCCCCAACCCTCTGTGAAGTTTATCAGATTCACACTACATAAGTAAAGATCAAGGTTTTATTTCAATCTATAGAGATAAACTTTTTGCCTAAATTACTTGTCAAACGAAATAAAAGCTAGATTCACTAAAAGAACCAATTTAAAAAAAAAACAATTAAAAATAGATTAATTTTAAAAATACTTCAAACATCGACATCACACATTCTTAAAGTCGAGACTGAAGCTACATAACATGGCGGGTCCCATAATATTTTTTATTGCACACACACTATACCATACAAAAAGTAAAACACTCACATTTAGAAAATTTTAATAAAGGTTTGCCTATGCACATGTATATTACTGCTAAATCATTTATTGTTTAGAAAAAAATCTAGTAATCGATGTAATAATTTGAAAATTTTAAAGTTTAAAATCCTATTTAAATTTTGTCTCCAAATACGTAAAATTTTGAGAACCGTAGCTAATGTCATCAAATCGAGGCATATTCCCCCACTAATCCAGTTAGAAGCTAAACGACACATAAAGAAATCAATTACTGACTCGTACATCGATCACTGTCAAGCAATGACGTGCTCTGATCTTCTGCACATCGGAACTTTAAACGGAGCAACTAAAAATCTGGAGGACCGCGCGCTCAAGTGACCATGATGCGGTGACAACGGTAAAAATCACCCGTGGCTGTGAACACGTTCTCATCAGTAGGACTCGCCGGTGGCACGTAAGTTTTATATACCGGAAAATATTTCTTCACATTTTTCCTTTTAAAACAACTGTATTTGTGGTTTTTTAAAATCAATGTATTTGTATAGCGAAGTTTAATAGAGAAAATTGAAACAAAAAGTAAACTATGCTCAAAAACATTATAATTTTAAAAAAAAAATATTTATTATTAAGAAAGAAAAAAAATACAAAAAAAAAAAAAAAAAAAAACCCCAATGCAATTGATATTTTGATTTTTAATTTCCAAAACATAACGTCTTGGTAAAATAATTTGTGTTTATTATTTCTTGATATTGATATTCCGGGGATTTACTTCTAGATTTATATCAGATATAATTTTATTTCACTAGACCTATTAACAATTTAAATAGTGGTCTTTACCTGTCGATACTTGGTAGGCCTATACTCTAAACAGCCCCCAGCAAATTTAGTCTGGTGTTGCTGTTGTGTAGTCTACGTCTGGGTGGCGTTTAAGTGTCTGACACATTAACTGGTGGTAGGTTTAGAGTTGATACATTAACTGGTAGGTTTAGGGTTGATACATTGACTGGTGGTAGGTTTAGAGTTGACACATTAACTGGTAGGTTTAGGGTTGATACATTAACTGGTGGTAGGTTTAGGGTTGATACATTATCTGGTAGTAGGTTTAGGGTTGATACATTAACTGGTAGTAGGTTTAGGGTTGATACATTAACTGGTGGTAGGTTTAGGGTTGATACATTAACTGGTAGTAGGTTTAGGGTTGATACATTAACTGGTAGTAGGTTTAGAGTTAACACACTAGATAGGATTTGAAGTTTAGAGTAACCAAATTAGATTGCAGTAGGTTTTTTAAAAGTTTAGAGTTGTCATATGAAGTAGGGCCTACAAGTATGTTTAAAGTTTAGAGTAACCACATTAGATAGAACTAGATTTGAAGACATAATTTAGGGTTGGAAGGCTTGACTTTTGAAGTTTAGGGTTTTAGAAAGAAGTAGGTTGAAGTTTAAAGTTTGAAGTAGAAACTTGTGTAGGTTTAACGCTTGGGCCTGATACGTTGGTAGGTTCAAATTTGGGACACACACATATGTCGTGGTAGGTTCAAGGTTTGGGACACACACATTATATCGTGGTAGGTTCAATGTTTGGGACCGTCACCTTAAATGCTTGTAAGTCTGCAGTTTGAGGCTGTCATTACAATAACATAAACAAGCTTCAATACTTTTATACCCGTCTTATTTTTCAAAGCTCATGGCTGTGTATTTATAGATCCGGCTTAGACAAATTGCTTATTAGTACTAATGTCATATAGCAGGCCTACATGGATGTCTATATCTTGATGACTTGAACTTCCGAGATGACTTAGTGTTGACATAAGTCTTTAGCTCTGGGTTTAGAATATAAATCGTAGTTTCTCATACAACTCACATCATACTGAAGTCAAACACAACTCTGCTAATATGCATATTCTCAAATAACCAAACAATTCCAAGAAAAGTTTTTAAAATGTAGTGGGGCATCCATTTTATAACGCCCATTAAAAAAGGAAGTTTATGTTAATGTTAATGAAAATCGAATGCGTGGGTTGTCTGTGTAGAGGTTTTAGCGCCCCATTCCGGCCAACGATCATTTTTGCGCCTCTCCCATCTGAACAGTTATTCACACGAGCCGACCCGCGGCATATCATACGCCGCTATTTAGTTGTTGTTTTTTTCTACTTTTCAGTAATTCATAATTTGTGAATTCGACACTACCAACGCTGCCACTGAAAATATTTCTTTAAAACACTATAAGTAGCTCGGTAAGGACGATATCCCCCCCCCCTTTCACCCCCACCCCTCCGTTAAAGTAAACTCCACTTAGTTACCCCCCCCCCCCCCTCCCTACGTTTAAAATCGTTTCAAACTAAATTATCTGCCCCTAATAGTCGTCACTAAACCCGGCTGTGTTTGTAATGTTTGTAAACATAAAGAGTGAACCACAGCTCACCAGACCATGAAGGGGTAGGGGTGGGGAGGTAGGGAGCGCGTTTACAGCTTGTTTTCTAGGCGCGTTTGCAGCTTGTTTTCTAGCGGCTCCCAGAAGAGAATTATATATATAGATTATTCCCCCCCCCCTCCCCCAACTTGCAATGGTCGGAGTCGCTTTTACCAGTGACAAGTTTTTTAAGTTGGTGTCACACAGCTGATGTAGATAACAGTTAAGTACGTAAAGCCAGGTAGCAGTCGATTCTCTTTCACTAAATAGTTATGCACCTCAAAATTAGCTAATACGTTTGGCGCCCCCCCCCCCTAGTGGCTCGTTGCCCGGGGCGGCCGCCGCACCCTCCTCCCCTGACTACGCCTCTGTGCTATGTGGAGATGCCTGAGAATACGTGTATAAACAGGGCTGTTTTACGAATGTATGATAACACATTGTATGTGAAACTACTATAGTCTTAGTTTGAGAATATCTGTGTAAATATAGTGAATTTTAAAATCTATATGATAAAACATTCTATATGTAATTACTATAGGTCTATCAATGTATAGAGAGAGTAAAGTTTCGCATCTGTATGATCATACATTGTATATGAAACTTATATACGTTTATGTGAGTATGTAGACTTGTTTGATATCCATATGATTTCAAGTTGAATGTAAAACAATAAAAAATCTTTGTGAATAGAGTCTAGTGTCACCTCTGTATGATCATAACGTGTATGTGAAATTACCATATGTCTATTTGAATTGAGTCTAGTTTGATATCTATATCATCTCACTTTGTATGTGATCTTGCAAAATTGTATGTGAATAGGATCTAGCTTAACATCTATATAATATACGTTGTTTGTGAAACTACCATAGGGTGTATGTGAATATGTAGAGTCTAGTTTAAAATCTATATGGCCACAAGTTGTATGTGAAACTCACATAGGTGTATGTGAATATGTTTGGGATGTGGACGTCACACCGCACAATGCTGGCTTCAATAGCTCTGGTTATTTTGGTCGCTCACGTCAGCACGGTCCTGGCATTCAGCGATGGATCCAAACTGGCAAAAGGTCTCTCGGCCACCAGGAGCGTTTACTGTCACAGGTACGGTAACCCCACCTTTTGCTAATACGTAGGTAGATCTATTCGTTTAAAAAAAAAGGGGGTAACAGCTATTTGAAGGATGTCAAACGGTTTTTATAAAAGAAATTGTATTTTTAATTTTTGGTATCATACATAATACATTGTAAGTAAGTATTTGACAATTAAAATGATAAACGTGTTTGTGGGTCGTCTACAGATAACCAGTGTTTCTTCCAGGGGGGGGGGTCACTTGATATTTTCGGGTGGAGGGGGAGGCGGACACTGGTAAATTAACTGTTTTCTATATAAATTCCATTTCGTTCCGGGGGGAGGGGGGGGGGGGTGTTCGGTAGACTTTTTCCGGGGGTGCTCCGGCTCCGGCTCCGACCCCCCCCCCCGAAGAGATGCCTGGAAGAAACTCTGCATAGGACCTCACACTTCCGGGGGGGGGGGGGGAGGTTGTGTAAGAAAGTAAGAAAGCGTGAAGAAGTCAGTTTTAAAAAGTTATATTCTAGAACACGGGTTCCCAACCTGGGGGTCGCGAAGGTCTTTCTGGGGGGTCGCCAACTGGTATACTAAACCTTAGTAATTTGAAACAAAACATAAATATTTAGAAGAATTTTTGAAATTCGGCTTCATTAACATCACTGGAAATGTAATAGAGAAGAAACAAAGCGCACTGTACAAAGTTGTTCTCAGTCACGAATCTATGAAATCTTCAAAACTAAAACGCCATTTGAGACGAGTCATTCGGAACAAACCAAAACATATATGGAGTTCTTTCGTCGGTAAGAAGCTAGTTGCAAACGCCATAGACTTGATCGAACAGGAAGTTTTCACAAGCATTAGTGCAAGCATCAAATAAAGTCGCGATAGAAAATGCCAAGCAAAAAAAAAAAAACACTAGGAGAAAATCTCATCAAACGCTGCATGTACATAAATGTTAAATAACACATTTTTATCGAAATTAAGCTTTCACCATTCTTTGCTTTTCAAGTTGATAAATCAACAGACGTGAGTTCGTGTTCGCAATTGCTGGTCTGTGTCTATATTCATGCAGATGATAGCAAAGAAGAGTTGCTCTTTTGTGAAGATAGCATGGAGCAAATAAATACCTTTTTTTAAACTGGATAATTAAAATGGGTTAAAACGGCTGTGGGGGTTTGTACGGATGGTGCGCCATCTATGTTTAGCTCAAAATCGGGCTTTCAGAAAACAGAAAAGATTTAGCTCCCTAACCACTGCCCTAACCAATCAACATCAAGAGTCCATTGCTAGTGTAAGTCGTAAATTATATAAAATCTGGAGCCTTCAAAGAACTGAGCAAAAACATTAATATAGACCACGAGGTTCTGCTCTTCTACACTACAGTACGCTGGCTGTCAAACGAAATGTTATAAATTGTGTTTTTGAATTGAAATCTGAAATCAAATTGTTCTTGGAAGTGCAAAGGAAACAAGACTTTTTGGTATACTTAAAACGGCATAGAGTGGTTGGAGCGAGTATCATACCTAGCAGATGTGTTCGAACATCAAGATAAGCTTAACCTGAAGCTTCAGGGAAAATGAACGAATATTATAACTTTCCGTGATAATCTCGGGGCATTTTTATCAAAGCTGCAAAATCGGTAAAGAAAATAAATCTTGGAAATATTGTAAATTTGAGAAATTCTGCGGTGTGTTAGATAAATCTGATTGTGAGATAATTAAAATTTTGAAAGAAGCGATTTCTGGGCATCTTGAATCTCTTGAAAACGAACTGCTATTTCTCTGAGCTGAAAAAGAAGAATCTGTATTTACGCATTACCCATTCTCTTCTTCCCTTGATGTTGCCAGCATTCCCGATGAATTACAAGATGAATTCTTTGATTTGCAGAATGATTCCGAGTAAGATAAAAAACTGCAGACACAATTTTGGTGTAGTATTCACCATTCATACCCAAACGTAAAATTGATTGACTTTTCGAGAATATATTTTCAACACTATTCTTCGATTAAAAACAAAATTAAGATAATTATAATGACATAGGTTGGCGTTAACAAAACATTTTTAAAATTAAAAACTTAACCACGAAGGTTTAGTGAATAGTATGCAATTTTACTCATGCTATTAAAATAGTTATCAAGAGTAGTTCATGTTGAAAGTCTAATAGAAAATCTTATTTTAGTGCTTATTAATTTCCATACTAATTTCGGCTTTTTAATTCTATGGGGGTCGCGGGTCACTTACTTTTTATAAAAGGGGGTCGCCACTCGAAAAAGGTTGGGTACCACTGTTCTAGAATTTTAGTAATAACTTTGCATTTTATAGGTTTATGTTTTTAATTATAAGAAAATTAATGAATGTACCTCACCTTGACCCAGATTAGCACACACAAATTATGAAAGATACCTGAAAAATACATTTTATGATATAAAAAACCTAAACATGACAGCAATATGAAAACGAAAAAAACCAGTTTGCCAGGTTAAGATATATTTAACAGATTATCAAGTTTTTTTTAAAAAGTATTACCTTTTAACATATGATCTCTCAGTTACCTGCCTAAAAATCCCCCCCCCCTCCTAAATTCTCCAGTTTATTTGGTCCTAACTTAATTCCCACTTATAATAAAATACCATCAATATATTCCATATGTTATATCACTATTTCTTGAACAAATCCTGAGAACAGGTCGACCAACAAACGCCAGCCGCTACACTTCAACACACAATGTAACGGCTACTGCGCGCCCAACCTACAGGGGGAGTTGTACTACACGCTGAGCGTGAGTGCCCCAAGCTACTGGCTGGACATCATCACGAGTGAGTTGGTTGTGTTCAGAGTCATGGAGTGGGGGTGTCTTTAGTGTCAGGGTTGTATGCGTGGGTTGGATAGGACTGTATGAGTGGGTTAGATAAGGTTGTATGAATGGGCTAGTTAGTACTATATTAATGGGCTAGCTAGTACTGTATGAATGTGTTAGCTAGTACTGTATGAATGTGTTAGCTAGTACTGTATGAATGAGCTAACTAGTACTGTATGAATAAGCTAGCTAGTACTGTATGAATGAGCTAACTAGTACTGTATGAATGAGCTAACTAGTACTTTATGAATGAGCTAGCTAGTACTGTATGAATGTGATAGATAGGGCTGTATGAATGAGCTAACTAGTACTGTATGAATGAGCTAACTAGTACTGTATGAATGAGCTGGCTAGTACTGTATGAATGAGCTAGCTGGTACTGTATGAATGAGCTGGCTAGTACTGTATGAATGAGCTAGCTAGTACTGTATGAATGAGCTGGCTAGTACTGTATGAATGAGCTAGCTAGTACTGTATGAATGTGATAGATAGGGCTGTATGAATGAGCTAACTAGTACTGTATGAATGAGCTGGCTAGTACTGTATAAATGATCTAGCTAGAACTGTATGAATAAGCTAGCTAGAACTGTATGAATGAGCTAGCTAGTACTGTGTGATTGGGCTAGCTAGTACTGTATGAATAAGCTAGCTAGTACTGTAAGAATGGGCTAGCTAGTACTGTATGAATGGGCTAGCTAGTACTGTATGAATGAGCTAGATAGAACTGTATGAATGAGCTAGCTAGAACTGCATGAATGAGCTAACTAGTACTGTATGAATGAGCTAACTAGTACTGTATGAATGAGCTAACTAGTACTGTATGAATGAGCTAACTAGTACTGTATGAATGAGCTAGCTAGTACTGTATGAATGAGCTAGCTAGTACTGTATGAATGAGCTAACTAGTACTGTATGAATGAGCTAACTAGTACTGTATGAATGAGCTAACTAGTACTGTATGAATGAGCTAACTAGTACTGTATGAATGAGCTAACTAGTACTGTATGAATGAGCTAGCTAGAACTGCATGAATGAGCTAACTAGTACTGTATGAATAAGCTAGCTAGTACTGTA